AATACGAGTACATACGAGTAAAATACGAGAATTAGCACGCTTTCTTTAAAGTTTCTTTCACTTTGGCTTCGTATTATGTTCATGTTGTAAATGCCTTATTGACATAGGCATACGAGACAGGGGGCGGAGGGGGGGGGCAACTGCCCACCCCAAATTTTGGAAAACCATGGAAATTCGGACAAACGCTAGGAAAAATCAAGAAAATTCGGGCAGATTTATGAGAAAATATGTTAAAATCAGGTTATTTCTTTACAATTCTCCATAAAAATTTGGGCAAACTTTTAACTGCCCCCCCCCCCAGAAAACATCAGCCCTGTTCTCCTATGCGTATTGATGGATTTCGAAGCCTCGCACGACGTAGAAAAAGTAATTCATTAATATAGAGTTTTTGTAGTACATGAAAGTGCATGTTTGCCATGTTGTTTATACGCCTGTAGTCTATTATGTGTTTTGCAAATTTAATACGTCAATTGTACACCGGGAAATATAAAATACTTAGGGTTCATTATTTATCGAGGGGGGGGGGGAGCTGGTGGATTCTAAAATTCAAACAGCATAATAAAAATGGCCCTCCCTTTTAATGTGTTTAAAAATGTAGTCCACCCGACCACCCCTTCTGAAAATTTTTCACCCCCCTCCACTGATTAAAGTCAAGAAGAACATAGTGTGACCGTATGGTAGTTCTTCCCATCCTATTCTTTTGTGTGCTCTTTACAACCAGGGGCGTAGAGAGGACCTTCAACTTGGGGATGCTGGACAGGGGGGGGGGGGGGAGTGGGTGAAATAAAAAATTCAAATCCACAATATAATTGTGTATAACCTTGTCCAAATAAGTAGATATGGCCCCAAGAAGAAAGGGTTTACTTTAGGTTTTTAAATGTAGAATATATTTACTTTCAATAATCATTCGGTTTTAAAAGTAATTCGCATTATTTTAACCCATCATTTTCCATCACGAAAAATCATGTCTTTTATGCATTATACAGTCTTCCGACTTAGGGAATGGTCATTATTTATGGGGAGGGGGGGGGGGTTGGGAAATGGGGAAAATAAGGATTGAAAACTTTTTTGCCCCCCCCCCTCTAGACTGAAGGCAAACTTTTTGTGCTTACCCCCTCATAAAAGTAGAAACTCTTCTGACCCCCCTCCCCTAGTGTGGATTGAAAAATTAACAGCAATGAAACAGGTGTGCGTTGCAGATAAAGTTAGATATTAGGACAGTCAGTTTAATCTAGCTCATGATGTTTTACCCTGGTGAATATGATTCAACCATATATGATTAAAAATATATATTATGTGTTACTACTTTGCAATGCAACATTTGTCCTACCATAACCCTAACCCATGACCCGTCTTCATACAGCGAAATGATTTGAACACAGGGTTTTTTTAAGAACTTGTCTGGGGGTGGGCATCTACAAAAAGGGACCATACTATATTGAGTGTGGAGAGATGACAGATGGTTGTTGGTGACAAAAAGTTTGGTGTGGTATCGTATGTACTAGTAGGGGGTCTGGGGGTATTCTCCCCCAGAAAATGTTTTGTATTTTTCCACCCCTAGAACTGAAATGTGAGCATTTTCTGAAACAGATTTTTGGATATACAGCGTTACATTGTGCGTTGATAGACCGAATCTGATCAGTTAAGTGTACTTGCATGGTATGTTTATGTAAATACCACAACTGGATCACTCAAGGGGTAGAAAGCTTGTTAATTAAACTTAGTGGGCCCGACTCCCGCGATCGCGAGGCGCTACCATGGTTGGCGCTGAGCTGGGAAATTTTGAAAATTTTGAGTCTCTAGATCGTTGGAAATAGCATTTTCAGAGTCTTCTTTTTTGCTATTTGTGATTATAGAAATCAGAACTCTGGACATGGTATTTAAGTTGAAAAACTTTTATGACCCCCCTTTCTCTGTGTTTAAACTTTTTTGACTCCCCTATTTATAAGGGTAAAACTTCGTTCCCCCCCCCCTCCCATTTCCCAACCCCCCCCCTCCCCATAAATAATGACCACTCTCTTATGCAAACTCACACACCGAAAATGCAGGAAATCGCATTTCAGGGACCCGAGATTTCAAAATATTCTGGGGGAGCATGCCCCCAGACTTCCCCTAAAATGGCTCACGCCTTTTACGCTGGCTACGCCAATGTCTCTATACCATCTTCTTTATATATCAATGCTATAAAATTTTATTGCCTCCCCAAAATACTTCTTCAAAAGATTTAAACCACTCTTTTACATCCATAAAATATATCCCCCCCATTATTTTACCAGCCTCCCCCCCCCCAACCGATAAATAATGAACCCTAAGCATTTTATATTTCCCTGTTGAAAACGTATTGACAGGTGTACAATTGACGTATTAAATTTGCAAAACACATGATAGACTACAGACGTATAAACAACATGGCAAACATGCACTTTCATGTACTACAAAAACTCTCTGACAGTTTGTCAGCAATATACTACATTTAAGGTTACTCCACATGATGGAAACCCATTTCACCAAAATGCTCACTGCGCGCTCAATTTTCAAGTTTTCCCCTTCAAATTTTGCATGCATAATGATAAATCATTGCCGTAGCTAACGATTTGCCAAAAATTCTACACCTTTAAAAACTGTACTTGCTACGGGTTGCTTTTGAAAATATGACGGCCTTTGCGCCACGAGATTAGGACGCTCCTGATTTACCTCGAAGGCTTCCGAAACATAATATTTCCCATCTCAAATGATCAAAGAACAAAACCGTGTTCGCGTTTTTTGACAGGTATTATATTTGCTTTGACATAAAGCAGAGAAGTTGACTCATCTAAATTTTGGGAGAATGGCAGAATAGATGCCTATAACTTGAAAAGTATGGCACTAAGTAAAAACCGCGAACACGGTTTTGCTGCTGTAATATTGTTCAACATTGTGGCAAAGTTTGGAGGGAATCGGATAAAACATGCGCGTTTCTAAACAATTTTTGTGGGGACAATCTGAGAATATTCCAATCTCCGTAAAAGACGATATTAGGTTTGGCGGGGTTTTTCCGCTCTCTGTTATCACCTCGAACTGTAATCGGATTAAAATTAGTAAAGTGTGTTTTGGCAAGGGTTTTCGGTGTCATTCACTCATCATCAGTTTATCACAAACCGTACATGCGAGAAACCACGCGAAAAAACTTGCTAATATGCCGGCGAAACGCAAATGTAAAAAAGGGATAGCTATACAGACCGATCTAAATCGGCCAAACGAAAATACAGTTGAAGATCTGTCGAGCCAAGCAACTCTCTGAACTTAACCCCAGTAAGGCCTGTGGTCCTGATGAAATCCCAGCTAGAATCCTTAAAGAACTTTCTCCATCAATTTCGCACTGGCTTTGTTTCATTTTCCAACAATCCTATGATTCTGGTATACACTTCCACTTGACTGGCCAAAGGCCCTTGTTTCTGCTGTTTTTAAAAAGGGATTAAAATCCAACCCAGCCAACTACCGTCCAATCTCTCTGACGTGTCTGTGTTGCAAAGTCATGGAACATATCATTCTTAGCCATGTTTCAAAGCACTTAGCATATCATGATATTCTAATTAATGAACAACACGGATTTCGCAAACTATTTTCGTGTGAGACTCAACTAATTACGGCAATCAACGATTGGGCAAAAAGTATCAACCAGAAGAAACAAACCGATGTGATTCTCTTAGACTTCAGTAAAGCCTTTGATTCTGTTCCTCATCTTCGTCTGATGTCCCAATTAGACCATTATGGTATTAGAGGACTTTCCGCCAATTGGATCAAGGCTTTTCTTTACAACCGCTCTCAAGTTGTCTCGGTTAACGGCTCCCACTCTCACCCTCAACCTGTCATATCTGGAGTACCTCAAGGAACAATTCTCGCACTTGTCTTATTTCTTCTCTATATAAACGATATTTCTGAGAATATTAAATCCCAAATTCGCTTGTTTGCTGACGATGGAATCATTTATAGAGAAATTAATAACGATCAGGACCACGTCACGTTACAAGAGGATTTAGACAATCTAAATAATTGGGTAACAAGTGGCAACTAAATTTCAATTCCTCAAAATGCTACCACCTAGGAATTACAAATAAACGTGTCCCTGAAACATATAGCTATATGATGAATAATCAAATCATTAGCAGAGTATCTTCTACCAAATACCTGGGCATTACTATAAACCACAACTTGAACTGGAACAAACATTGTGGCGTCATATGTAGTAAGGCAAATAGCACTCTTGGCTTACTTAGAAGAATCCTTGGTGAATGTAGCGCTGCTGTTAAGTCAAGAGCGTATACTAGTCTTGTCCGTCCACAACTTGAGTATGCTTCTACAGTCTGGAACCCTTACACCAAGAGGAACATCAACAAGATCGAGATGGTTCAACGCAGAGCTGCTAGATTTGTCTTCAATGACTATTCCAGAGCTAGCCACGTCTCTCCAATGATCGACCATCTGGGTTGGGACAATCTCCAACAACGGCGACTGCTACACCAAGCCTCTATGTTCTACAAGATCTATCAAGGCCTTGTTGGAATCAGTCTTCCTGATGACGTGTGTCCTTTGACTAGAGCATCCAGGCTGCCTAATATCTGTCCTTACCGCCAAATTCAGTCGTGTGTCAATGTATATAAGTTTTCATTTTATCCAAGAACAATCGTTACCTGGAATCACATCCCATTTAACAATCTTTGCCAATCAACCTCAAGTTTCAAAACACTTGCCATGCCTTCAATTAAGTCACTTAATGTAGCTAATTAGTATCGTTTTGAATCGTTTGTATTGTACTATATGTTCGTTTTGTAGTCTTAGAGTTGTTGTCGTTGTTGTTATTGTCGTTTGTCGCTTTTGCCATTGTTGTTGTTAATAACATATAACAACATCATTCTATAATCACCGCCTAATATATGTGTCATACAGTGATTATGAAGACTAATTTCTTGTAAATAAATATTATCTAGTTTTTCAGTATATATAACTCCTAGTGTAGTATAATACTGTTTTAGGAGTATTTCATTAAAGTATTAAAGTATTACCTAGAGGGTATTGGCATCAAAACCCAACAAATGTTTTCATTTTTTCGATTGGGACTATTCTACAATGAAGTACTCTTGGATACTGTAGTCTAAACACATAGGAAGGCGAAGAAGTGGAATTTATCGGGCAGAGAAGCGGCGAGCCATTAACATGGCGGCAATTTGACGAAATATCGAAGGACACAATATCGAAGATAAAATATACTGCACTGTTTCAAAACTTCATTAAACTTCGTCGAAATCGTCTTTAGCCATCTATCATGATGTAAAAGTACAATAACTGGATGACACCTGCGAGACTCGGCGATAAAAAGCAGACAAGACGGCAAAGTATGGCTGAAATGGTGTTTTCGTGTGGGGTGAGTGAATTAAGAGAGGATGTCCACAAAAATCAAACATAAAGCGGCCACGACTGAAAAATCGATTTTGCTCAAATTTTGCCCAGATATACCTTATTATATCGGAAAATGCACCATATATATATTTTTTTAGGTCAAATGCTTTTTTAACTTTGAGAAAATGCCGTTTTAACACGACCACCCTAAATCGCCATTTTTTCTGGGAAAATATGTGCTGATTTTACAGATAAATTTCACGACGACAACCGTTTCTAATCGATCTAAAACCCTAAAAATCTTGTTTTCGGTTATTCAAAGAACTGTGTACATGACTTACAGGAAATCTGAGTTACTTTTAGGAATAGATATAATCGTAGTTTTGGAGCACACTATCTTACTTCATTTACGATACCCTCTTAACAAAATCGATTTTCACCATGCGATAAAGCTCCAAATCGATCATGCTTCTACTAGTTGGCTCTTTAATAAACAAGCTTTCAATTGACGTAAATACTTCTTTTGGCAAATGAATACGCGATAAACGACAGCGCGTTGAAATCTTCCGTTTTTGACGTCTTGCAAGTCAAACGCTGTTAATTTATACACCGTCGAAGTAAACAATTTAATCAAGTATTCTAAGTATTTTACCTTTTGAGAAAAAACATATTCTTGAATGGGGACTTTTCGCTTTGCTAAGTTTAAAAGTGGTCCAGAAATCCCGGTATATTTGTAAAAAAAATCATCAAACATCCAGTATTTTGAGACATTGTTGACGGTTGCATGATAACTTCAGATCATTATTCAACGTGATCTACGACCCGGCCGTTTGACTTTAGCGCTAACATATACAAATCGATGAGCTATTTAAGGATTATATTTGCTACTAAATTCCCCAAAAGAATTGGAACTACAACTGCTGTTTTCAGAGGTTTTGATCCATTTTGTCCATATTAATGTACCATTTTATTTATCGACTGATGTTTACAAATACGTAAGTTAATTATTCAGCAGCTGTTAGCGTGCGTGTACATGTGAAATGAACGTTTATAATGTTTATCCATATAAGGAGTTTTTATTTTTAGTTTACCAGCCCTTATATTTGAATAGTCGTTTTCTTTCAAGTTGTTTTCTTTTTTATACTCTGCAAAGTTGATTCCGAAATGTTAAGGTATTCGAAAAAACTATCGAACTTTTCCATGATATTTACAGAGAAACGTCACAGCTGTAAACCCCCTCCCCCACCCCCAAAACGAACATATGACGTTTCTTGTGGAAAAAATCGATATGTGAGGCTTCCCTAAAACTGCAAGGTTTACACTATTGAATTAAAATCCCACAGACCACAACGATTATACGTATTGATTGTTTCTTGACGATAGTAGACGCGTACGTGCATGTTGCGGAAGAGGTTATTTCGCTGGCCTCAGAGTGACAAAAGGTACCCTGGTTCTAGAGGTTTAAAATAATAAACCTCTGTTTGAAAGCGGCAATTAATTCATCGAGCCGCGCCAATCAGCTTGAATTAGGGTAGATGGTTATGATAAGACAAGGGCGGCGCCAGGGCCGCCCATGCAGGGAGGCGGCAAAGGGAACAATTTTCTCCGCGACCCCAGCTCAAGGAAGACAGGCAAATACAAATTTGCAAGGCGATAAAAAGTTTGTCGACGGAGGGGGGTAATTGTGGTTCACCCGGGCCCCAAGGGTATAATTGGCCCTGGGGCCCCATATTTCACTGAGCCGGTTTGGGCTGCGCCAGTATTTCTCCGACGGGGGGAGTCATCAGTGCTCTCTTTTGATCGGTTTATGCGCGATATACCAAGTCACGGGTGACGTCACAAGTCAAGAGTGACGTCACACCAATAGCAAATAATGGAATTATATCATTTCACTTTGTTCTTTGTTTTTTAAATAATACTAGTTTTAGCTACCTATTTGTTTTGGATCGTCAGGCTTTTTGGCTGGCGCATTTGGATCGTTTCCTTTTTGTAGATCATTCGGATCATTTGCTTTTTGTGGATCATTTGGATCATTTGCTTTTTGTGGATCATTTGGATCATTTGCTTTTTGTGGATCATTTGGATCATTTGCTTTTTGTGGATCATTTAGATCATTTGCTTTTTGTAGATCATTTGGATCATTTGCTTTTTGTAGATCATTTGGATCATTTGCTTTTTGTGGATCATTTGGATCATTTGCTTTTTGTGGATCATTTGGATCATTTGCTTTTTGTGGATCATTTCGATCATTTGCTTTTTGTGGATCATTTGGATCATTTGCTTTTTGTGGATCATTTGCAATTCAAGTCGCCAGGCGCCAGAACAAAAATCAAACTTGCGCGTACGGCGCAACCAGCATTATATAAACAATCAGTCATCTGTAGCTACTATTGCGGTGCAGGGGACGTTTAAGCGATAAATAATAAGTATTATTTAAAATAAAACTTTTGATATAAACGTTTAGTTGCTTTCTTGCGATATACGAAATCCAGGCTGGTGGTCCGTTAATCTGTTTAGAAATAGATCTAATTACATGTGTTCGAAGCTTTTAACACGACACTGAGACTGAAAGACTTGAAAATATTGTTAGGCTAGCAAGCTATTTTCGTTGATTTCAAACAAACGAGCGTAGTCAGCGTCTATGAGGATGACATATGTGCAGCCTTGCCGCAGTGTTTCCGTGTGTGAGCGACAGTGTCGAAACACAATAGTTATGTATTGGATTCTTAATCACACCTGCATGTGATACACTCGCGACTAAGTCATGCTTTAGATGTCATTCGAATATGGCAACAAAGTGACTTGTTGTTTGTGGGGGGTTTTTATCAGTATTTTAACGTGCTATTTGTCAAATTCGCCGTGTGCTGGTCCCATAGTAAAGTCGTGGGTTAAATTTTATCAAGTTATGCATTGAGAATTGCGAGAAAAAGCCAGACGAAACGCAAGTTCTTATTTGCCCAGAAGGTAGCCCCTTTTTTTCAAACATAACTGGATAAACAACGTTATTCCTTCAGTCATCTTGTGGAACCCACTGTTTCATACAAACAACTTTGGTCAAATAACATGCCCCAATTGTCACTCTGCACTAAGGCGACTGGAAATGGAAAGATGGTAGCAACGATAGGAACAATCCAGATAACTTATTTTGTATGCAAGAGCGTGTTCTCCTGGTTTCGTCTGTGTTATGAATATTTAATGTATGTTCTGAGCCAGAGTATAAAGGTCAGCGTATGACCCACAGAATGTAAACATTATCTCGACCGCCATATTTGTAAAATGTTAGGTACAATTTTAAGTTGAATAAAGCCTATTATAACGGCATCTTTCGTAGTTTTCTCACAACAATTTATTCAACTTAAACTATGGATAAAGTATTACGTCCTGAACGCTTAGAAACAGATCCTAACAGTAGCACGGCGGCAACTGAATGGCAGCATTGGAAACGAACATTTGAAAATTTCCTATCGGTGTTGCCAAGGGAAAGATTGGATAAATTCGGTGTGTTAACGAACTTTGTATCACCTACAGTCTTTCAGTACATCGAGGATAGTGAAGATTACACTGCAGCTATCGCAATTTTGGAAGCCTTGTTTGTCAAACCAACCAATGAAATTTACGCTCGACATTTACTTGCCACAAGATGTCAAAGGACAAATGAGACACTTGACGAGTACTTACAAGTGCTGAAGACCCTTAGTAAAGACTGTAACTTTAAAAATGCTACAGCCCTTCAGTACCGCGACGAAAGTATTCGAGATGCATTTATAACAGGGCTTCTGTCTAATTCGATTCGTCAAAGATTGTTAGAAAATAAAACGTTGGATCTCAAGACAATGTTTGACCAAGCTCGATCCCTCGAGTCAGCTATGAAAAGTTCCGAATCTTATACGGACTCTCAAGCGAGTTTCAATGCTGCAGTTCCTTCGTCACCACCCGCTACACCTCCTTTGGACAATCAAGATCCAAGTTCTTTGGCAGTTTTGCCAACCGAAGGTGCATTTTGTTTCTTTTGTGGAAATAATAGACATCCTCGATCCAAATGTCCAGCTAGAGATGCCATTTGCATGAAGTTCCAAAAGAAGGGACATTTCGCGAAAGTCTGTCGGGGAAAAGCAGCTGTCAAGCCCGTCAGCTTAAATTCAGCAGCCGTTTGGTTCCCAACATTGGCTACAGTAACTCCTCCAGTGAACCCAGCATCTCTGTCAAAATCGTCAGCAATGGTATTTCTCAATGGGTTCAAAGTTAAAGCACTCTTCGATAGCGGAAGCAGCGAAAGTTTCATTCATCCTAGCCTGGTTGAGACGGCTTCCCTCTTTGTTCACCCATCCTCCGGGACAGTATCCTTGGCTACTTCCGACAATGTTACTAAAGTTGCTGGGTACTGTTTGACTAATCTTACCTATCAAGACCATACATATGAAAACCTTCGTCTAAGAGTGTTGCCAGGATTGTGCACAGACCTGATATTGGGTCTCGACTTCCAATCAAAGCATAAGAATGTCATCTTCAACTATGGTGGACCCGAGCCACCTTTGGTTGTGTGCGGTTTCAGTACGTTGAACATGGAGCCACCAGAACCCTTTGCAAATTTGACTCCTGATTGCCACCCTATTGCCACCAAATCTCGACGGTACAGCCAAGAAGATTTGTTGTTCATCGACGGTGAAGTGGAAAGGCTTCTCAAGGAGGGCATCATCGAGCCAAGTAAGTCCCCTTGGCGAGCACAGGTGGTGGTTACGAAAGACGAGAACCACAAAAAGAGAATGGCTATAGACTATTCGCAAACAATCAACAAATTTACGCTCCTGGACGCTTTTCCATTACCACGAATTGATGAGTTAGTCAATCAAATTGCCCAGTATAGAGTCTTCAGTACAATTGATCTACGCAGTGCATACCATCAAGTTCCCCTCAAAAATGATGACAAACCTTACACAGCATTTGAAGCTCGGGGTTGTCTTTATCAGTTTACACGTCTTCCTTTTTGGAGTCACAAACGGTGTTGCCTGTTTTCAACGAGAAATGGTAAGATTCGTACAGGAAGAGGATCTTAAGGCAACATTCCCATATCTTGATAATATCACAATCTGTGGGAAAGATCAACAGGATCATGATGTGAACTTGAAATGTTTCCTGGACGCCGCAGAGCGCAAGAACATCACCTACAACGATGACAAAAGTGTGTTCTCGACCAAACGCCTCCCTATTCTAGGGTATGAAGTAGAAGAAGGCGAAATTCGTCCGGATCCAGAGCGTCTTCGACCTCTACGAGAACTTCCTATACCACATGACTCAAAATCCATGAGCAGGTGCTTGGGATTATTTTCTTATTATGCGAGATGGATCCCAGCGTTTTCAGATAAAGTAAAGCCTCTTTCCAGCTGCAAGACCTTCCCGCTATCCCAGCAAGCTGTTGATGCGTTCGAAAGCCTGAAGAAATCAATAGAGAAAGCTGTTGTTACTGCTGTTGACGAAAGTATTCCGTTTGATGTTGAGACAAACGCCTCGGATGTGGCTTTAGCAGCCACACTCAACCAAAATGGTAGACCTGTGGCCTTCTTCTCACGAACACTCCAAGGCAGCGAGTTGAAACACGCAGCTGTCGAGAAAGAAGCTCAAGCCATTATCGAAGCAGTGCGCCATTGGAGACATTTTCTAACAGGGAGACATTTCACTCTCAAAACTGACCAAAAGTCGGTTTCGTATATGTTCGACGTCCAACATAAAGGAAAAATTAAAAATGACAAGATAATGCGTTGGAAACTAGAGTTGGCTTGCTACAGTTTTGATATCGTTTATCGTCCTGGGAAGTCGAATGTTGCACCTGATACGTTATCTCGCGCTACTTGTGCTACAACGTCCGAGTCACTCTACAACCTTCATGAATCACTTTGCCACCCGGGTGTTACAAGATTATACCATTTTGTCCGATCAAAGAATCTCCCTTATTCTCTCGAGGAGATAAGAAGGATTACAAGAGCATGCAAAGTATGCAACGAATGCAAGCCTCAGTTCCATCGCCCGGAACAAGTTCATCTCATCAAAGCTACGAAACCGTTTGAAAGGCTCAATGTGGATTTTAAAGGCCCGCTGCCAACGACTGATAAGAATCGGTATTTCCTCAATGTGGTCGACAAATTTTCACGATTTCCATTCGTGTTTCCATGCCCTGATATGACAACAACCACTGTGATCAAGTGTCTCACTACGCTCTTTTCTCTTTTTGGTATGCCAGCTTATATTCATTCTGATCGAGGGGCAACATTTATGAGCGAAGAACTGCGAACCTTTCTTATCGGAAAAGGAGTAGCCACAAGTCGTACAACTAGTTACAATCCCGAAGGAAATGGTCAGGTAGAGCGGTACAATGGCATAATCTGGAAAGCAATCGTCACCTGCCTTAAATCGAAGAATCTTTCAGTAAAATATTGGCAAGAAGTTCTCGCGGACGCTCTACATTCGGTGCGCTCACTTTTATGTACAGCGACAAACGAGACACCCCATGAACGTTTCTTTAGTTTCTCCCGAAGATCAACCGTTGGAAGCTCTATACCTTCATGGTTATTACAGCCTGGACCTGTTCTCATTAAACGTCAAGTCCGATCAAGCAAACATGATCCGCTCGTAGACGAAGAAGAACTGCTTCAAGCTAATCCTCATTACGCTCACGTGCGCTATCCAGATGGCAGAGAAACGACCGTAGCTATTAAGCACCTTGCACCTCGTGACCAGGAAATGACCTGTCAACCATCGGTGGCACGAAACGACAACAACTCAATCTCGAATACTGAGGTAACGGGCAGTCCTGCTGACGATACAACTGATGAGCCACGAGATTTCGGAAGATCAAACGGAGAACAAGGTGACTCAACCCAAAACGAACAATCCTCTTCGATAGAGAAACCAGGAATTAGTCATTCGGTAGAAGAACATAATGCAGACTTTTCCTTAAGACGGTCGACACGCACGCGTCGACAGAGTGTTGACAGATTAAACTTATGAATTGGTCATATCATTGATAGATTGGACTTTTAAATTATCTTATAAACTTTATTAGTTTATATTTATATTTATAGGTAGATTTATTAAGACTATTATGAATTTATTAGTTTCTCGTTAGTAGGTAGAACATTAGGACGGGGAGAATGTTATGAATATTTAATGTATGCTCTGAGCCAGAGTATAAAGGTCAGCGTATGACCCACAGAATGTAAACATTGTCTCGACCGCCATATTTGTAAAATGTTAGGTACAATTTTAAGTTGAATAAAGCCTATTATAACGGCATCTTTCGTAGTTTTCTCACAACACTGTATTACTAAGCATGCATAATGTTGTTGTTTTTTTAGTTTTGACAATATAAGTTATTAAAAATTAAAAGAAAATTCAGTGCGAGTAACAAATGCACTTAACTAGGTTTTTTTTGCAAGAAAGACACGAAAATTGTTCAAGATGGTCAACCTCATGATTAAGGTTAGGGAAAAACCTCTTAACATTATGCTTATACGCAGACGGGGAGTAATCGTTAAACACTTTCAGGTCATTTGGTAAAAAATTGAAAAGTAAAACACCACTGTATGAGAGTTTGGTCTTGGAAAGATTAGATTTGACAGATGGTATTTTGAGATCAGTAACAGAGAAGCGAGTATGTACATCGTGCGATGCCCCAGAGAAACAAAACAACTCGCGCAGATCACTAGGAGATGAGCTGCGCAAGGTGCTTACAACGAGTAAACTTTTTCGCATCTTAATTAAGTTGTAGATGGGAATCCATTCCAGTTTGCGGAACAGATCAACAGAAGGAGTTGACATGCTCTCGTTCAAAGCCAATGTATGAATAGCCGTGGTCGTCACGTTGCCGGCCACATCGTAAGTCTCTATTAAACTCCCGATGAAGAACCTTCGCTTTTGTATTTTTCAGGTAGTTGCATCCCTATATCAAGCTTCCTCATGTTTATATATTGTTTGATTTTGCTATGAATGGCCGTTTTTATACTAGTGACGCATTATGCGTCTGGACGAACTTGGGCAACCATTTGTTGTTCGTCTGGTTATGCGTCCTCAGTATAAAGACGGGCACAAGGCGCATTATGCCTGTAGACGAACTACAGTATGTTCGATTCTTCGTCTTATGAGACGCACAACCGATGATAGTTCGTCTAGACGCATAATGCGTCTTGTGCCCGTCTTTATACTGAGGACGCATAACCAGACGAACAATATTACTATTATTATTATTATTATTATTATTATTATTATTATTATTATTATTATTATTATTACTCATTTATATAGCGCCATTTCCTGTAGCTCAATGGCGCTTAACATTAAGTGTTAAAAATATATACTATATATAAGTACATGCATAATACTAAGGTTGGTAATACATACATTAACTATACTAAAAGTACTATATGTTCTTTTCATTATGAATATAAAATTACTTTATGCTATAAATGTTGACAATATTAAAAAACTATATAAAATACTATAAAATTGGTAATACTTGTTAAAATAGTACTTAGTCATAACACTGTTTAAAAAGATGTGTCTTTAATCTAGTTTTAAAAATAGGCAAGGTCTCACTCTTTCTAACATGTTCTGGTAGTTCGTTCCACAGTTTCGGTGCCGCATATGAGAACGATCGTTCACCATAGTTAACCAATTTTACTGAGGGTATTGTGAGCAGTCCCTTGGATGAAGAGCGTAAATTTGCTGATGGTGTGTAAGGTTTTAGCATATTGTTAATGTAATGTGGAGCAGCACCATTCAGGGATTTATATGTAATAAGAACAACTTTATAGATGATGCGTTGACTAATGGGGAGCCAATGTAATTGTTTCATTAATGGAGTAACATGGTCGTATTTTCTGCTTCCTGTCACCAGACGAGCAGCACAGTTTTGCACATTCTGTAACCGATCTATAAGAAATTTAGGTAGTCCGTATAGCAAAGAGTTGCAATTATCCAGTTTCGATGTAATAAAGGCATGAACTAGGGTTTGGATATCTGATTTTGATAAGTACTCTTTTATTCTTGCTATTTTTCTCAAATGGAAAAAACAGTTCTTGCAGATGTTGGTAATATGTTTATCCATGGACATGTGTTGATCGAAGGTTACACCGATGTTTCGTGCTGAAGTACTTGGTTGAACTATTGACTTAGATATTTCCATATGGTGTACAGCAGGGCATAAACGATTTCGTGCATTGATTACTAGTAACTCAGTCTTGTCCCCATTCAATTTTAATTTATTTTTGACCATCCACAAATCAATCTCCTTCACACACATTTCAATTTGTACCAGTGCTCCCGCTTTTTCTTCAGTGGTTGACTCAAAAGCGAGATATAATTGCGAGTCATCTGCGTAAAAGTCAAGACCATGACCTCTAATGATATCACCAAGGGGTGAAGTGTATAGTAAATATAATATAGGTCCGAGAACTGATCCTTGTGGGACTCCACAGCTCAAGTCTTTAGAGATAGATTTAACACCATCAATTACTACACTTTGCGTTCTATTTTGAAGATAGGACTGAAACCATTTCCATACTTGTCCATCTATCCCAAATCGTTTGAACATTCTTTGTAATAAAATTTCGTGATCAACAGTATCGAATGCTGCTGACATATCTAGTAGTAACAACACAACACACTTATGATTATCAATAGCCACAAGAATATCGTTTTGCACTTTTAATAGGCCTGTTTCCACGCTATGAAAACGTTTATATGCCGACTGGAAAGGTTCTTCTAGGTTGTTATTAGCCAAATGTTCCAGAAGCTGACCGGCGGCGGCCTTCTCAATTACTTTAGACAGGAGTTTTAAATTTGAAATAGGTCTAAAATTTGTGTATTCTTCGTATTCCAACGAATCTTTCTTTAGTTTTGGTTTCAACACGGCTTCTTTTAGTTTTCCAGGCATACAACCTGACTGAAGTGACTCATTACTGATCTTAGTAATTATAGGTAAGAGAGTCTTCTGACAACTTTGAAAGATTTTTGCGGGAACTGGATCAAGTTCACAAGATTTTTTTCCAACTATATCAATAAATGCTGATAGTTCGTCGGATTATTCGTCCCGCCTTTATATTAGACGAATAATATACAGTGTGTCCCAAAAGAAGAAATATAGAAATTTATCCTATTGTTGTTAAGCACAGGATTTTATGCGACTGGTAATTAAAAATTCAATTCAATTGTGTAAACGCGCTCTTGTGCTCAGCATAGTGCTCAGGCATTCAAATTATAACAATTGTCAATAGGATAATTTCTAGAGAGGGTACTTTTTTGGGGACACACTGTAGAAGACGGATTATGCGTCCAGACGCATAATGCGTCTCTAGTATAAAAAAGATCATTATCTTTGTTTCATATGGTTTATTTGATTTTTGTGACTCCCTCCGTAGTTTTCTTATAAAAGGCAACTTTTAGAATTAAGAATTAGATCCTTCGGTGAGGTAAATCCGAGACTTTAAAGACCGTTGAGATGGACACACGACACAAACGTTGTCGTCTAAGGTGGATATATGACACGAGATTTATATAAATAATTATAAAAGTGGCAAGGCAACCTTTCAGCTAAGGTGGATATATGACACAAGAACAATATAAAGAATTATGAAAGCGACAAGGTAACCTTTTTAAAACTGTGACATTGTAAGGTTTACACGTCAGATGAGTGAAACCCTATACTTCCCCCCAACAGGACCCTCTCATGACCTGGAGGTTCACTGGCATATTTTGTAGGTGATGGTTCAACGTGCTTTGGCAGCCAAGAGTGTTGTACACGCGAAAGGCGGAACAATATTTGCTGGATTTCTCAAGATATTGCCCATGTTTATTATGGTCTTCCCTGGGATGATCAGCCGAGTTTTATATAAAGATGATGTCGCATGTCGTGATGCTGAGAGCTGCGAGAGAGCGTGTGGAAATAAGTTAGGATGTTCAAACTTAGCTTATCCAAGGTAATTATGGTGATGATGATGAAGATGGTGCTGGTGATGATGAGGATGGTGGTAGTGATAATGAGGATGGTGGTAGTGATGATGAGGATGGTGATGATGGTGGTGATGATGATTATGATGGTGATAATGATTATGATGGTGATAATGATGGTGATGATGGTGGTGTAGTGATGCTGTTGGTGGTACGGTGATGATGGTGATGGTGATAATGATGATGGTGGTCTTTTAGTTAAAGATTATGTTGCATGTTCTGTTGCTGAGAGTTATAGCAGAGCGCAAGAAACTAAGTTTGGATGTTCGAACTTATCCAAGATAACTAATTATGGTAGTAGTGGTGACCATGGTAGTGGTGATGACGAAAAAGGTAATGGTTATGTTGATAGTGGTGGTGATTATGGGGAAGGTGATGGGGAGGATGATGGTGGTGAAGATGGTGCTGCTGATGATGATGTTATATAACGATAGAATTGTGCGTCCTATGTTGACAGCTTGACATAGCATGGGGAAATAAATCAGGATGTTCAAACTTAGCTTCTTGTCGTCGTCGTCGTCGTCGTCGTCGTCGTCGTCGTCGTCGTCGTCGTCGTCGTTGTTGTTAATGATGATGGTGATGATGATGATGCAAACATGTGCTGATGATAAACATTCAAACTCTGTTTATCATAGGTAATACTAAACCATTTATCCGGGTATACAATCAATAAACTCAATTAATTTGCTACCACCTCTAGGTTGGTATTCAATCTGTTACCCACAGGGATGGTCGGAGTAATGATGGCAGTAATGTCATCACTATCCTCAGTGTACAACAGTGCTAGTACAATATTTACTATAGATATATGGCAAAGAATAAGACCAAGGGTAAGTATACAATTCATTTGGTGCACCAAGAATGACCTCGCGCGAATGCAGTGAATTCACAACATTGAATAATTCTCATGCGTAGTTACTTCCGCCAGGAGATTATGTTTTTATCTGTGTTGGCATGTGTGTTTGTGTGTGTGTTGGTCCGTCAGCAGGATAGAGGCCCACACAGACCGGACGCGATTCGGCAACGCGACGCGAATTTTTAGTTTTCAAAAACAAATAAAACCATCAATGGATACAAATTTTAAAAGATATGCAGACCAAATAGCTAAAATTGCTGAAAAGGTTCCGAATATTTGAAAAACATAGAAAAGTTAGTTAAATGTCATTGAAAATTGAAAATTCGCGTCGCGTTGCCAAATCGCGTCCAGTCTGTATGGACCTTAACCTAAAAAATATCAAACGTATTAATACGAAAATTTGTGGGACTAATGAACATTGCCCAAGAACAAATTGATTAAATTTTGGTTAAATTTGGATGAAAATTTGATGAGAAATTAGTACAAGTTTGTCTTGCTTTGCCGGGCAGAGTAAAGTGAATTAAGATAATTTGTATGACTCATCAAGTTCATTCTTTAGGCAAGTGACCGAGAAACTGAAAACTTATGGTTGGCCGAGCTATTGTCGCTGTTCTTGTGGTCCTGGGTCTCGTCTGGATGCCTTTGATTGAAAGTGAGAAAATTTATATTGTTGTAAATCCCTTATTCACAGAAGTCCATTTGCAAAGACCCCTGAAAATCAGCTCAACACAGCAAAAAATCATTTTCTTATTAAGAAAAAAATTCTTAATTTAAGAAATTATTTCTTAAAACGAGAAACGGATTTTCTTAATAAGAAAAAGATTCTTAAAATAAGAAATATTTCATTGGCAAGATATTTTTTCTTGAAATAAGAAAAAAATATTTTTAACATATCTTGGATTATATTTGTTTTCTTAAACCAAGAATGTATTTTCCTACGATTTTTTCATCTTCATATCAATCATTTTGTTAAGAAAAGATGATTTTCTTGTTTTAAGAAATACTTTCTTAAAACAAGAAATCAAATTCTTAACATAAGAATTATATTTGTTTTCTTAAAACAAGAATATGTTTTCTTACGATTTTTTCATCTTCTTATCAATCATTTTCTTAAGAAAATAGTGGTTTTCTTGTTTTAAGAAATAGTTTCTTAAAACAAGAAATCAAATTCTTAACATAAGAAATTATTTCTTAAATTTTCTTGAACGGAAAGAAAATTTAAAATTTGTTAAAATTTAACTACAGGAACTATAGGATGGCATTCAATTCTTGTGTTTAAAGACATATATAACATATTTTGTATATAGATTCATTTTAATTGTATAATTCTTATTTCTAGAATAATCTGCATATGTATTACAGGGACCGCGGAGACTGTTTTGAAGTGTGTGTGTGTGTGTGTGGGGGGGGGGGGGAAGGCAGGATAGCACGGGCGATAGCTCACTCAGGCAGACTGGATTTTATACGGCCATGGCCCCAGCCTCCCCCTGTTCCGCGGTCCCTGTATTTTTGCATGCTTAGGAGAGAATTTGCAACTCGGTTAATTGCGGCTGTGCACAAGATTAATTAAACATAAGAATTCTCCCCTATCGTATTTATCTTTGTTAATTAATTTGTTAACGTAAATCAGGGATGGATTTACTGGGGGAGGGGATGTGTGAGGGTATAACGCCGCCCCCCAAGGAAAAGTCAAGAAAGGGATCCCAATTTCCCCCAGCTCGGGGGCCCAGGAATGCTGGGATTGTGGAACTTGTTAAATATTAAGGAATATTCTGAAACATTGAGGTCGAAAAATGTCTGAAAAAGAAAGTTGTTTTTGAGGTGCCCCCCAATCCCCCTCCTAGATCATGCTGAATCCATCCCTGAGGTAAATTTGAGAAAAATATTGTGTTTATTTTTATTAAAATGCTTTATTTCCCCCCCCTCCTGCAGGAAAGAAGATATCTTTCACCTACCAGTGGCGTAACTACTATGGGCTCGGACCGGGCGAACCCGGGGGCCCCCAACCCCAATGGGCCAAATGGGGGCCCCCAAGCTCAGGCTGTGAAGCAAAAGCATTGGCCAGGGCCTCTGATATGTCATAATGTCGTTTTCTGACCATCAGAATTCTGTAACATCTCTCCCCAAAGTCTGGGAAATGGTATTTCAGAGAGTCTAGATTCAAAAATTTTCCGGGTGAGCATGCCCTAGACCCCTAAAAACTCGTGCATATACGGCGCTCGACTTGTGCCTTTGGCACTTCTACTAGGAGGGCCTTCGAAAATTTTGAACCGGAGACCCCCTGATATAACGTTACGCCACTGTCACCTACATTCCGTCGCCCCTGATACCATACTATGCATTCTAATTTACACTCTAAAGTTTGAATTTTTCTCGTGTTTTATTTAGTAATTGCAGAGAATTTTCATGACTTTCCGATAATTTATTATAGATAAAATTAACAGTCAATAACTGATTGAAAATGCAGACATGCAAGCAGCAATAGTTCGCGCATTGCCTGGGGGCCTGGTGCCTAGTTTACGTATCAGAGCGCGAAGAGGTTCACGGGACAGCGTCGTTTCAAATTTTTTTTGTGCTATAAAGTGCTAACTGAATTCCAGTTCATATTTACAATATATTTATCAAATTTTTCTGTCCCAAACGACGGAAAAGGCATCGGAAAGGTCTTAAAATGTTATTCAGATCTCACAGGTAAGAATATATTATTTTGATTAATTATTTAAGTACTTTAATTGCGAAATAATGTGTGATTGTTCTTGAGTCATTTGCCTAAAATTCCGTTGAATGTTTAAATTTGCCGCGTTCAATTTGCATAAAAAACCTACGAAATGGTCTAGTGGGTACACGTCTGGAGAAAGCCTGTCTCTGGTTAACATATGTATATTTGTCATACCCTGCATCATCTTGTACATACAAATGAAATATGAACTGGCTTTGTTATTGGTTAAATAAAGGCTGTTTATTACATCCACAGTTAGTAGTCCCTTTTACACTGTAGGTTAATGATAAGTCTCAAGGTCATTGTTCTGGCATATTTTGTATAAAGTAATGATTACATTTTCAATAAGTAAAATTTTCCTTTTACAGATTCTAAGATGATTGATCTTTGTTGGCAATTGTATGCTGTGTTTGGAACAGTATTAATTAAATGTACATGAGGAAATCAATGGACTTGGTGAATGAACAATGGTATAGATAATATTGATTGTGAAATGGACAAAATGTTAAACAAAATATGGCTTCAGGGGAAACCAGGTTTTTTTCAGGGATTTTTAGGGCCCTTTAAACGGCCCCAAAAACTCAATCTTGAATTGAGTTTTGAAACTCAATCTTCTCATCAAAGTTTCAGTGCAGTAAAAATGAAGTTGTTTGAGTTATAAAATGTTGTGACGTGTGGAAATTAGTTTTCAGTTGGAAGCCCGACAAGCCATCTTTAACCAGTTTATAGTGTCCCTGTTTTAACACATTCCGTCTCAATTACATTTATTGAGTACAGGTGTCAGCCCACCGGTAGGGGGGGGGGGATGCAGCCACCCCAACTGTTCAGCTAAACTCAATCTTCCCTGCAAAAACGGACCCAAGAGAAAATCCTGGAAAAAACCCTGGGAGAAACTCAATTCACTACAACACATTGCTGTGCTATCAGAACTACTATAATTTCAGTAAATATACAAGTTATTTTCTTAGAATGAGAATTTTTTTCTTAAACTGAGAATGTTAGGTGTAAATTTATCTTATTTTTTTATCTAGTCAAAAGTATCTAGTTTTAAGAAAGTTAATCTTAAAATAAGATATATTTTCTTAAAACAAGAAAATGATTCATCTAGAATTTTTTTCTCGCTATTCTCCCTAGTAAAAATTTTCTTGTTTTGAGAAATATTTTCTTAAAACAAGTTATATTTTCTTAATTTAAGATTTAATTTCTTATTATTTAAGAAAAGTTTTCTTAATTTAAGAAAAATTTTCTAGTTCTAAAAAATTTCTTATTTTAAGAAAAAGTGCACTAGAAAAATGTTTCATTATTTTCTTGAAATGAGATATATTTTTCTTAAAACAAGAAAATATGTTTTCTTATTTTAAGAAATATTTTAAGAAATATTTTCTCAGTTAGAAAATATTTCTCGCTATTCTCCCTAGTAAAAAAATTCTTGTTTTAAGAAAATATTTCTTGAAACAAGTTTTTTTTTTCTTGAAATAAGAAAACGATTTTTTGCTGTGTAGCCTGCGAATACAGTCTATATTTATGTCGCTTATTCCACTTGGGGAAAAACTTATTTATCGTTATTTATCGAAACCAGAGTTTCTTGAAGATTTTCCTTGTTTAACTAGTAGAACCGAACGTACAAGTGCATCAGAAGACTAAGCGAGAGTTTTGTGTTGAAATGCTCTGTTTACGGGAAGTTATTTTGCATTCGCAAGCCTCAACAAAAGCCGGCATTTTCACAGTTTGATTATCATATCGATAGATAAAAGCAGTTTGAAAATTCAAATTGAAAACATTTTAAAACAGCCGTATTTGTATAGAATATATGTTAGTTGTATTAAAATCATGAATTCTTTCTGTTTGAACTCAAATTTGTACTAGTTTTCCGATTGACAAGACTAGCTGTCAAGCTCGCGACCCGATTGGCAGGAATGACTGTAGATAAAGCTGATTCAGCGTGTTAAATGTCTCCTTGTTTTTGCCAAGATTATAATATTCTATTGCTGTAGAGTATATTCTACTTTGTGTCAAGCAAAAAAATTATAAAGATTAAACAGATATTCAAAAATATACAACAACCACGAACATTTCGTTATTTCTTCGGGAGTCCGGGGAAATGAATGAAATCTTCAAGTTTCAATGGAAGTCTGGCGCATGCGCAACAAATTTTCCAGCTGTTGGTCATCCCTCAAAATTTTTTCGGATTTTCCATTTTACAGAATAGGATTTTCGACATTTTCTGAATCGAGTTTGCTTGGAAAATGCTGTAATCTTAGGATTGGTTAGAAATAACGTAATATCCCTCTTATTCCCTTCCTGACAACAAAATTCATTGCCATCTCTTTGTAAATTTTATTTCCTTGCATTTTATTTCCTTGCAAATTTTCTTAATTGCATATTTTCTTAATTGCACTGCTTCGTGTATGCGCGAGGAGCACACGCAGTTTCGAAATGCGTGAAAAAATGGCGACAATATAATGTAAAAATTACATAATTTGAGGGCCAATTTTTGGCAAAACTGCAGGTGTTATCGATTACAATATTTTGTTTTTCGACCTTATAAGCTTTTAAGGAACATTTGCACCCGTCAAATTGTTCTCTCTGTGTGGGGGAAACGAAAAGTCAAAATCTGCTGAGTGGCTGATGGCCTAAAAGTCCTCAGCTAACTTCGATAGAGCTGATGTTAGCGAGATGGGTCTTATATACTTGGCAATTATTGAAACCGGTTTAGTCTTAAACAGTGGTGTGATATTAGCATATTTCAATGATGATGGAAGCGCTTGTTCCTCAAATGAACTGTTTAACATGTTACAAACAGGGTTTGCAAGACATTATGCATATTCTTTAAGTAGCCATGCAGTTAGGCAGCTCGTCCGGACCACACGCTTTGCGGGGATTTAACGTTGGTAATCTCGAATACACAGAATAAACATCAAGCTTTAAACCTCGGATTTTTTGTCGAATGGAGGAAGACAGGAAAGTATTTGGTATGCTTGCATGGGTTCGAGGAGAGAGGTGTTAATAAAGTCTGCAATTATATACTTATTTGACTTTCCATCAATGCCGCCAATGTGACGCTGCGAGCGAATATCAGCATTCGAAGTTGCAGCGACGATTCCTAAGATTTTTTTAACTTCATTCCACCCACATGCTCGGTTTGGTATTTTTGATGTTTGCAACTGTAGTGTTGTAATACCGGCTGCGAAGCTTCTTTCGCTCATGATTATCCACGTTACGAAGCTGTCGATATCTTATTTGAGCATCTTCAGCGTTGGCTTTCTGGCGTTGTTTGATAAAACTTTTGAATTCAGAGGTGCCCAGGGAGCGTCGTTGACGTGCATGTATAGTTACAGACTTTAATTGCACGATAATATCGACACTATTTTTGACCAGATCTTCAAAGAGTAGTACTGTAACTTGTTTTCACATCCAGTGATGGAATCAACAACCTGAGTGGACCGACAACCGGAAAGGTGGAAAGATTTGAACCGAGTTCTTCTCATACAGTTAAGGCATGTTCGTAATAATGAGGTCGAGAGTCCGCTCACCTCTCGTTGGACCATGGACGAATTGTTTTAGCTGGAATTGCTTCAAAACGTCGGATTGGCGAATTAATGGGCCTACTCAACCTCGCATTCAGGCCTTCTGCGCTGGTGGGACTACCTCAATTTCGTATGGGCGAATTCTCATTTCATACCATGTTATATATGGATACATTTTGTAACTTTGTCCTTATGTGCATATTCGAATATGAGTGAAATTATACCGTAGTTGCAGTTTAGCATAAAGATAAAAAGTTAATAAAGATATAAACCAGCGTATGTCCACACTAATCGCATTACAGTTCTAATCCCTCTTCATTTCTTTGTATTTAAAATGAATACAAGTTTGCATCCACACTAGCTTTTTCGGATCGTTTTCAACCATTCAACTTGGCTAGAACATATGGACTATTTTTATTATTTTCGTGGGTTTTGCAACGCCTTCCAAAATTCTCAACTTTATCTCACTGAAAAATAATTTAGAGCTGAGTAGGTAACCCCCCCTATCCAGCGTTCAAAGGGATGCCGCCAATGACGTCATATCAATGACATCACCGGAAATACCCGCATAAATTATCAAGTATGAACGTTCAACTATTCCCGCATAAATTATCAAGTATGAACGTTCAGCTATTCCCGCGTAAATTATAAAGTATGAACGTCCAACTGTATGTATGAGTGAGCAAGACCGTCAAGAAGAATCGTTAGCCGCACAATATGTGTTGGATTTTGATACGTCTCTTTTAGAGTAAGGGAGACGTACAAGACATACAAAAACGGTTTTTTTAAGAGCCACCAAATATACTAAAAGAATTAAACGAAACACTCGATTTCACATTTCACATATTTATAGTATGGATCGATTAAGTTTCGCTAAGAGTCAATACCCCTAAAATGTGGACAGTATAGTGTACACTTTTCTGAAAATCAATACTCCCCACTCGATGAACACACACTCGATTTATCCTTTTCATAGTATGCATTAGATCAATGAAATAGCCCAAACATTTATAATAATAGTAATAAGTGAAAAAAGACACACATGTTATCGATAGAGTAAACTTTTGTTGTTAAACGTTACTCCTGGGCAACAAACGAAGATGTCGTGACCAGTAGTGCAAGTCCTCGTTGGGAGTCAGTACCGGTCTAACGTGTGGAAAAATCAAGTATAGTAAACTCTTTGCCGAAAACGAATTCTCCCCATTCGATAAAGTTTTATTTTAGTTTACTATGAATTGAGTGTGAATACTTTTCGTTTCCATTTAAAATTGCTTTTGGAAAAGCATGGGGGTTTATTTGAGAGCATGATATCTCGTATTGGAAGAGAAAACGTGCTAGAAAATTTGTGTGTAATCTATCAAGAGTTAGAACCTTCAAATTTTGGTCGAATTATGGCTTACTTGACTTTAGTTTACAAAGTCAGTGATTTTTGTGAGCCTGAAATTGTGCAAGAAGCCGTAGAAATCTGTGTATGGGAATTAAAACAAGCGGATTGCGCTAGCTTTGAAATAAAACAATCTTGGATACAACGCTTAGTTGCATGGTTACGCGACTAGTAACCTGGCGAAATTTGAATATCACTAATCCGGGTTGAATAGCAAAAGTCATTAACTGTTGTACATGGCTGAACACATTGTAATTTGACGACATTGCCCTGAACATGTTTGTGCTGACTTAGCAGGAAAACTGGCCTTAACGATAGGACATAAGTACCGCGCATCAGACAGTATCATTGTCGTTTACCTACAGCAATGGAGTGTTTGCATGG